TTTAATTATGTAAAGGGTGATGATTAATTAATGAGAGTTGAACCGTAAAACGATGATTTGAGAGGCAACAACACACAGACGAGGGAGGGAGGAACGAAAAAAAAAAAGGATAATCCAATATCTAAAAGATGGATGCGATGTGTCTTGAAGAGATGTGTGAATAGCACGAAAGGCGACTTGTTGGTGAGTGAGAAAGGGAAATCTGAAAGGCTGAAGGAGGAGGCACAAGCGATTGAAGAGCCCGAATCGGGAATAGTTGCGCGACGTCACCAAAACCATCCCCACAATTTTTGAAGGCCCGGCATGGAAGGAGCTGATTGGTTGGAACCGTGTGGTGGGGCTTGCTTCAACACCATGATTTGGCATCGTGAGTTTGTGATGAGCTGGAAAAAAAAAAATCTTGATAAGAGGTATTGTGTGCTGAAATAAGTATAAATATAATTCATTTTAAGCTGTTAGATATTTCTTTTATTCATCCTCTCAACAAACCAAATTTACAAAAAGCCGCACCAAACCATCCAGCGGGCCAACACACACCATTAATTAAAAAGCAAATAATTAACACATGGGAACTCTAAACAAACAACAAAAAAAAAAAAAAAAAAAAAGCATTAGAACTCTCAACACTTGATGGAAACATTGAAAGACCCTGAAAATAAATATACCCGTAATAAACTTCACTCGAACCTGACAACTTCAGAGCCCAAGTATATCCATCCACCATTGCCAGTGCCCGGTCAGATATAATTAAAGCAAAGCCACGAGAGAGCTCTTCATCATTCCCTTCTCATTAATTGTTATATCATTTCGAGCATCTAGAAGTTTAAAAGCCGACCTGACGATATACGATATGTCGTATATCTTGATACATACCTAGGTATGCATATACATGAGACAAAAGGAAGGTTGTTTAACAAGGCACCATCCGTCATTCCTGCGATCTATGTTAGAGACTCACAAACATCTACACCGCCCCCCCCCTTTCCACCCCCCGAAAAAAACCAAAAATATATATATAAAATATGAAACACTTGAACGTTAAGAGAACATCTTGGGAAAATATAACTGTTACCACATCCTCTTTTTTTTTTTTTTTTTGGTTTCCCCCCCCCCTTGTGTTTGGTTTCTTTCTCCTTCGCTGTAATAACATTGTAATGTTTACACCGGCCTGCAGCCACCATGCATCCCGTCTTCGCACAAAACCTTCAGAATTCCGTTCAGCTCTCCTTATTTCGGCTGTAACAAAATGGTATCGTACACACCGGTCTGCAGCCACCATGCATCATGCAAGTAACATGTATACATACCTACTGGATGTTGTGTAAGTCCTGAAGTTGTTATCCAATCAGGGACTCTTAGAATGCATAACCTCAGCTCCTCCCTCGTGACCAGAAACGGATGCGCTGGATGACGGCAGCCTGCATGTTCATCCTGCATTAGCACCCACCCACCTGAAGATTTCTCCCTCTAACGGCGTGGGAAAAGCAATTCTGTTCTGTACCAATACTACACCTCACTTTAAACAGACGACCGGCAAAGAATTGGAAATAGGTAAAATGTGCAAAGTTGGTATGTTTAGACTGTTTCCAGCGCAAATTATAGGTTACAAAGAATTCCGACACCTCAAAAACCCATCGCAACGCAAACTCAAAAATAAACACACAAAAGCCCGAGGCATATAGCATGCAACTCGGCAGAGTATCAAGGTCGGAGAAGACGAAAACAAAAACCAAGCGAGATCATTAACAACGACAACAACAACAACAACAACAAAACTCAACTCCGGCTGAGTGTTCCCATGCAGGCGCTAGCAACAAAAAAACAAAACCCATTTTCTCATTTTCTCCGTTGCCAACATTCCATATCGAATCCCAAAAAGCCACACGCAAACGTCATCAAAATATCTCCTTGATGGTTTTCTTCATCCTTTCCCTGCAGGGCATTGCCGCTTGGGGGTTGAGGGAGAGAAAAAAACCACAACAAGATAGTGTCTGGAAACAGACAACATCCCAACTCTGCACAAAGAGGTAATTAGGTGTGTTAGGCGTAGGCTTGTTAAGCTAAGGTAGGTAAGGTTCGTGGCTCGTGTCTCATAAAAAGCAGTGTGGCCCCCTTTTCAGGATTCGATTGTCCTGTAGTGTCCTCTTATCGAACTCCCGGGGATTTGGTGCATTTATGTGAGCAGCTTAGAGAAGAGCGGCAACACCAGCGATGAAGAGGAGGCCGCTGCTGATGGAGAGAGACACGGCTCCGCCAGTCTGGGGGAGCTTCGAAGGGCTGGGTGTAGGAGCCGAGATGAACGAGATCGACGTCGTGTTAGACGCCGGCAACGAGCCGTTGTAAATGCCGGTGTAACCAGCAGGAGCAGTAGTGACCTCGCTGGTGTGGGATACTGTGGTGCTGGCAGTCTGAGAGACGGAGGTGGTGGTGGTGGTCGTAGCCGCGGAGGAGCTAGATGAGCTAGTGGAGGTCGGAGGAGCAGCAGAAGAGGAGCTGGAGGAAGTAGACTCAGGAGCAGCCGTCTGAGCGACCAGGCCACCGTCAACCTTGTATGCCTCGGCGCACTCGGTCAAGCTCATAGAGTCAGGGCAGCACCACGTCCCGCTCTTATTGTCTGAAGTGCAGTAGTATCCAGCATCGCAAGAGTCTACATCATCATACGTTAGTCATCAATTGCAAGCTTCACCTAATGATAATACATACTTCCAGACTTGTCAGGGCAGCAGGTCTGACCGGCGTCCTTGTTGAAGCAGTGGACCTGGTCGTCGGTAGAAGAGCAGGCGGTGTATCCGGATCCGCAAGCCTCCTCGCAGGTGTTGCCAGAACCGCAAACAGCCTGCTCGGGTTGGTATCCTGGCTCATCGGCGCGACGAGAGATGCCGAAAAGCTGGCGAGACGACATCTTGACGGCCTGGACCTTGTAGGGCTGGAGACCAGCGGCCGCGACGTTGGAGGCAAAGGCGAGGGCCGCCAGAGCGGTGGTGATGGCCTTGACGTGCATTGTGATTGAGTTGTGGGGAGAAAGTCGCGACGGTCGCTGTGAATTAGGTGTAGGTGTGGAAATAATTAGGTATGCTGATTTTTTTTATATAAAAAAAAAAAAGAATGGATAGAGCACAGGACTCTGTTTAGTGAATGACAGGATGAGCGTGAGAAACACGTAGAAAGGATGCGAGAAGAGGGAGCGGAAGATTGAAATGAGGGTGAATAAAAGAGAGCAGAGTGAGCGAGGATCTGGACTCTGGGGTTGGATGGGCCCACACCTTCACTCGCTAGACAAAAATTTGGAGCAGGGAGCCGTCGGGCGCGAGAGGTACCTTCCCAGCCTGTTGTTGGGTCTGGGGTACTTGGGGAGGGTGAGGGAAGGGCCGAGCGAGCCACTGAGCACGTCTCCTTAATTTTAGCATTCTGGCGCTGTTTCCCTGCGCGGCACGCTGCGGTACCTGCGTCGTTCCTGGCAGGGACCTTGTACGTCAGGTACAACCAATGACAATTGTCTCTGCCCACTTAATTGCCATCCAATTTTGAGCGTTCATGTCCAACGTCTTGGAAGTTCCCGTCTGTCGGACTTGTTCCTTGATTTCTTATTCCAGCCGGCAGTTTAAGCACTTGTTCTACCTTATTTCCCAAAAGCCTTCGTCAAAATGCGCCTGCATTTTGACGTGGTCCCCTCCCCCCCTTCCACGTCATGATTAGCTTCAAGGCTTCCTGGTTAGTTGTGGACAAAAGATACTCGTTCCCTCCCCCCGTTCCAGGTAGCCAAGCAGCCAAGGATTAAGCGTCGGAGCCCAGCAGCGGCTTTCAATTTCGGCCCTCTTTGCCGTGCGACTACAACGGGGCAAAGGGGGGGAGTCCTGCCAATGCTAAATGCTCTCTCTCACCGCTTGAGATTGGGAATCCGCTGGTGGAAAACCAGCTGCAACCTCTGCCGGAGCAAATCTGAAATGAGCGAAAAAAAAAAATGGAGGAAATGAGGTCTTGCTAGACCCATTTTATCCAAGGCGGCTCAATAGCTGGGGGATCTCATCTCGGACGATCGACAAGTTTTATCAAATATCAATCGACGTCCAAACATTGCGACAGGTTTTTCAAAGATCTAATGCAAGCGCCAACGCGCTGGCGAATTGCTTCTGTCATTCCGTTCGTTTCTTCAACGCCCCGTCAACCCTGCGACGGTGGTGTGGCACGTGTGCTTCAGGAGCGAAATGTGACTGGCTGACAGGCGACCTGTCGGTGTTTCGAGGGATCAGCGTTGCTGGCCTGTGCTTCTCTTTCTACCCGCAGCCCCACAAATCCCGAAGGCGGGTCCGTCTCCAAGCTGATGACTGGGATCCCTCCGTTGACATGACCTCAATCCGGGGACTTTTTGTTATGGGGTCTTTTTGGGTTCATGATGTCTGGGGAAAAGGAATTCAAGGGTTTTGTGGCTGTGTCGGGACGCTCGCCGAGTTTAAGGTTATTGATGTCAGAGTTTCTTCTTCCCTCTCGACATCGCTTCCTTGTCATGTATCTTAATAATCCATCTGACCTCTCAGCTGAATAGGTTTAGAACACCAAAAAATATCAAAAATCCACAGTCATCAAGGGTTCTCATCGTTAGACTTTTACTAGGTAAATGAGGCCGTTCTCAATAGTTGATCATAGTCTCGAAGCCTCAATTTCCAGCTCTCAGTGGTAGCCTCAAACCGAGGTCTCTCTTTTATTTTCATTACCAAGCAACACCAATCATCGATCGGTCTATCCATCCGTCTATCTATGCTCTCGAATTCGCAAACATTATACATAAAGGCACATGAACATCTTTATCTCACTCAACATTGCAATCGACGTACAGTCAACTAATTACCTACCAAAAAAAAGCTTGGACCACCAAATTTCCAGCTTGGGCTCCACAAAACACTAATTAATCCCTAAACCTTCACTCTCCCCCCCCCCCACCCCCTCCGGCAGTACCATTAAATGACTCACTTCTGACTCGGGAATCCAACAACATCTGTTCAGCGGGTTTAGCTCAGTTGGGAGAGCGTCAGACTGAAGTTCCACTTCATTCGAAAAGCCTTAATTCAAACAAGGTCAATCTGAAGGTCGTGTGTTCGATCCACACAAACCGCAATTATCTTTTGGCCCTCTCAACAACAAGAGGGTATTTTTGCCTTTTTTTGGGGGTTTTTATAGAATATATCTTGAGATATGGTCTGGCGTGCTTGTGATTCGATGTTTGGAGAATCATAGGTGTTTCCTTGATTTCAGTTTTATTAGGGATGAGAAGGACGAGAACGTATCTTCTTGACATTTGAGAGTCGACCGAAGCAAAGAAGCAACACACTTTAAAAAAAGACATGTGCTCCGAATATCATGAGGCTAGAAACAAGACAACGGATGATATCCAGAAACCAGTTTCATTTCTCTACACAAATAAATCATGACATCCCTGAAACCCCCCCTAACCCCACCAATCCCCATCCATTCCCCAAAGACTAAAAAAAGGATAAACATGCCTGCTTGCCACCATCTTTCACCGTTCTTATACCACGAAATCTCATACTCTCACTTCGTGTCTCATTATTACCAAGTTGTATTCATGTCCCCGTCTTCTCTGCGCAGCGTCACCGTCTAACCACTCAGGTAAGCACGAATCGCGCCCTGCAACTTAGCCGCACCCTCACCGACAAGGAGAGTAAGATTATCAAGATCATCACCGGCGGTATTGCCAAACCTCCTGACGAAATCCTTGGCGGCGCTCTCGAGGTCACCATAATCGTCCCCAGCATATTCCTCGGTCTCTTCCCGACCAAAGTAAGCGTTTGACGAGATGGCCGAGGCTCCCTCAAACCCTCCGAGGCGTGACTTGGCCTCTGCCTGGGCGTCGGCGTTGAACATGCCCTTGCCGAAGAACTCGTCTGAGGAGATAGCCTTTTGGGTACCAAACTTTTTGCGAGCGTAGTTGTCGTTGTCGTCATCTGCATCCGGAAGTCAGTTGTATTCTGAAAGCAACAATCATTGTAAAGGGAAAATTACCATTAGCGTTGCCCTTGATAGGTCCAACAGAGCCGAAACCGCCAGCATTCTTCTTCGCCGCAGCCGCCTTGCCGCCGACCTGACCGAACCCAAGCCTCGCGACGCCCATACCCAAGCGCTCAACCTCGGAAGCGGACTTTTCCCTGGAGTGAGATGCCGAGCCGTAGCCGCCGCTCCGCGAAGAAGAGCTCACAGGTGTAGGAGACAAGATGGAAGCGGCGCCAGAATCCTTGGATGAGGAAGGCTTGGATGCCTCCTCCTCAGGATCATACCCAAGCTTCTCAATCCGCTCGGCTTCTTCCTTGGCCTTCTTCTCGGCCTCATCGAAATCAATCATGACATCGCCGCCCAGCTTCTTGGCGCCCAGTTTAGTCGTGACCTTCTTTGCGCCGAGGACGTTGGTCTTGCGCGCACCACCGGCAGCGGTTGTCTTTTTTACCGTCGTCGTCGCCGCAACGCGGGTTACGGTCGGGGCGGGCTTGTTGTCGGCATCCGTCTTGGCCAATGGCGAGGAGGAGCGCGAGATCTCCTTGCCGGTCTGTGCGTTCAGGAAAGGTGAACCGGTGCGCCCGACAATGGGAGGAGTGGCGGTTCGCGAAATAGGAGGCGTGGGCTTCTTGATAGCGGGCTTGTCCCATGACGAGAAGAAATCGTCGTCGTCCTCGGCCGGCACGTCTTCGTCGAGTTCTACACCGTCGAGAACCACCTCTTCGGGATATTCCTTGGCATCCCTTGCGGCCCTCTTCTTGAGCTCATCCTTGTACTTGGTCGCGGCGTTCGAAGTATATTTGGTCTTTGGGTCCTTGCTGTTGAGCGCAGCCGACCCGCCGTTGGACTGGAAGAACTTGGTGGCGGACTCGTTACCGCCGACCTTCATGAGACGCAGCTGATCCCATTGCCATTCTGTATTGCGCGCGCGCAGTACGGTTAGCCAATTTTCCGGGTGTTTCGTGGGATTGTCGAGGGAAGAGGAACATACGATCGAGATTAGTAGACCGAACAAAGGAAATGTGGACACCGAGGTTGCGATGGTTGGCCGAGCAGTCAAGGCACAGGTAGATGGCGAACGGGACGGAGGTCCATGTTGGGTTCTTCTGGCCGCAGTCGAAGCAGATCTATACGCCCATGAAGAAGTGGTAGTCAGCATATTGTCGACAGATTGCAGAGGTGATCCAAGGGGTAACGTGGGATAGGGGAGCAGCTCACCTTGTTCGCCTGCTTCGTCTTGAGCTTCTCAAAGATCTTGAGTGACTGCTGCTTGGAAGCGAGGCCGCTCATGTTGTGTGAGATTTTCTGTCTGCTGATAATTTTTTTCCTTTGTAAAGAGAGAAAAAAAACCTTGGGAAGTGGCAGCAACAACAAGGGTCAAAATGTTTTTTTTTTTGTTCGTTGTTCAAAGTGTCGGTGTTAACCGGCGGCGGCGAGCCACTCTTCAGGGGAATTTCGCTGCCCAGGAATCCATCCATGTGGCATCAAGCAAATCCGCTAAGCCTAGACAGAACTAGCGTGGAATGCCCCACACCTTCCAGTGTCTCCGGTAGATTCCCCGCCAGCCGGCAAACACTCAGACCATCCTCCGCTTTTGGGGGAGCTTGGCCTTCCAATGCAGTGTTTCCAGAAGCTAAGGTACCTAGCTCTGATCGATCACGAAAGAGCTTCATTCCCTTTTCTCCAATCCAATATGCCACGTCCGCCACCATGAAGTCCCAATTCGCTCCCTCCCGGCTCCGGCCAATCACTCTCACCATGGGCAGACCTTTACTTACCACTTGCATACACCCCGCGCTCTTCGCAACTTTGCCCCGCCGTCTCTCCTACACCAGCTCCTCGTCCACCAAGAGACGAACCGTGACCCCGCTAAACGACGACGGCCATCTGCCCTGGTCGGACCTGACCGCCGCAGAAAAGACCGGCCGGGCCGTTCAGCAAACCGTCAACCTGTCCCTCGTCCTGGTGGGACTCGCCCTGACCTCGGGCGTAATCTACGTCTTGTATTCAGAAGTCTTCTCCACCGACAGCAAAACCACCCACTTCAACCGCGCGGTAGATCGCATCAAGTCGGACCCGAGATGCGTGGAGCTGCTGGGGGACGGCAAGAAGCTGAAGGCGTTCGGGGAGGAGACGCATAACAGCTGGAGAAGGGCCAGGCCTATTGCGTATGACATCTGAACACCCCTCCCCTCCAAAAAAAAAAAAAAAAAAAAAAAAAAAAGTTGCAAGAAATGCTAAAATGTTTTACAAACATAGGTCGAGCGCAGTAACAGACAGATACGGAGTCGAACATTTAAGGATTGAATTTAATGTAAGAAAAAAAAAAAGAAAATCTGAAAAACCAAAACCTTTAAGAGATGTACAAGATTGAGGGAAAAGGAGAAGAAAGGAAAGGCTGACATTGGAATTTTTTTTGCAGATTCAAGGACCACGAGGAATCGGCAGAGTCAACATTCACCTGATCAAAAACCCCGGCGAGCATGAACATCACTACAAGTACTTTTTCCTCGACGTCAAGGGACATCAGAGGATATGGTTCGAAAATGCCGACGCGGCCAGGCAGCAGCAGCAGAATAAGAAAGGGGAAGGGTTCAAACTTTTTGGTGTCAAATGGAGTTGAGAAAAAGATGATCGCGGTGATCGGATGATGGTGATGCGAAAGTGGAAACATATATCATGGATGCGTGTAAGATTATGTGTGTGTGTGTATGAGTAATGGGATTTGGAAAGGAATTGGATTTCATGAAAGGGAAATGGGGGATTCCATTGGTTAAGTATCAGGGTGATCAAAATTGATCTTTCGGAAGTAAGATAATAATAAATTTATCAGAATGCCAATGTCTAGCTACATAATGCCCTTTTTGCAAATTTAAAGCTTCATATTCATATTATCAACTTCTCCCCTTTTCCCCTCCCGTGGGATATGTACAGTTGCTAGCTACGTATTGTACAGAGTGCTAATTTTGCAGCTTTCACTGACCACCAAATAGACAGATAAACAATTTTTCTTTCCCCTTTTTCCCAAAGGTCCAAACACAAACACGCCAACAGAGCCACAGAGGTGGATGTCTCCAGAAAAAAAAACCCCCCCATAAGGCCTCCTTCCCATAACCGCCTCAGTCGCGCTGTTAAGAGCACTCTGGGCTACCAAGTACAAGCTCTTGAACACAGAAAAAAAAGATAATTTTTCCACTCCTTCAACCCCAAATCTCGGTCAATCTGTTTGACAAACCAAAACATCATTCTAATTTCCCTCATCGCCATCCATTTTCGAAATCCACTTGTTCATCTGTGAGTATTTGTCCTCAAACGACTTCTGCAGCTTCTGGCAAGCTGCCCACATGGGATCGGTCTCCTTCCAGTACGTGTAACAGTTTGAGAAAATCTGGTTCATGTCTGTTAGGAAATCTTCTTCGCTCGTATACTCCCGAGCGTCCATTTTGGCCTTCATGGTGGTGAGATCCATTGGTTTCTTGACGACATCAAAGTAATCGGGCACGCCGTCGCGTTGAGGATCAACTGGGTCCTTGAAGGGACCGACGACGCGAGTCCAGAAGCCTAATAAAATACCAAAAAGGTTAGCTGTGATGAATTAATGTGATTTGAAAAAGGAAAAGAAAAAAAACGAAAACTTACCAGGACCAGACAGCATTCTAGCCAGGAGATCCGCGCAAAAGTTGAGCTTCTTATCCGTCGAGTATTGTTGGGCCCCCAGAGCAACACCGCTGACACGACGTTTCTGGCCACTTTTCTGTGAAGCCTTTGCTGCAGGCAAAATAGCCCGCGCACCGGGTGCAGGTTTGCGGCTAGCGGGCGGATGAGCAGCATGAGATGATCCATTCACTGCTGCTGCACCTTCCGAACCTCTACGCTTCTTGGCTGCGCGACCGTCGTTCCCTTCATCACCGTGTGGTGCACTTCTCCGCTGGCCGGCCATAGCAGCCACCGCGGCAGCTGCAGTAGCGGTAGGCGACTCGGGGGCAGCACCAGCAGCAACGTGGATTACTGATGAACTCTCCAGTGAGCTCATAGCCACTACAAGTTCACTCAGAACTTCCTGGGGGAGTGACCGGGCAAATTCGGCTCTCGATTCCGATGATCTCATATACTCGGCGGCCCACGAGAGCAGAAGCTTCCGGATCGATGAACCCTCGGGCGTGTCTTTCCAGACTTGGACAAGAAGTGGCGTGGCGGGTATATGGTCGGTGAGACGTCGGCACTCAATCATGGCTTCGAGAGTTGCATCGCAGAGGCCATCGATGCCCAGCTTGTAGGCCAGCTTCCAAACGCCAATGAGAATGTCGTAACTCGGAAGATTATCGACCGATGAGAAAACCTCACCCGTGTACATGTAATTTTGGCAGTACGCAAAGACTTCGATCGGGGTATCTGGAAGATGTACAATAAGCTCGAGGGAGGTTACATTCGCGTTGTCGTGAAAGTACTTTCTATAGTAGGCCGATTTTGAGCAGAGGAAGTCTTTTTGAATGCCGAAAGGCGTTTGATCGGGCCCAACCAATGCAATGACAAAAATCGGGTGAGGGTCTCTGTGTGTTAAGGGTGATTGTGAGCTTGCGACGCGGAATGTGGGCAGATGCTGTGGTTCTTCGACTTACAACCAAGAAAATGGTACGGGTTCTGGAGCCCCCGTCGGAGCTTCCAGTTTTTGTGGTGGTGCCTTTGAAGCATCGGTTACCTCTGGTGCTTGTTCTTTGACCGGCTCTGTTGGCTTTGCTGGCTCTGGTATCGACTCTACAGCTGGCTCAGGATGTTCGCTGGTTGGGACTGAAGTAGAGGTAGCTGCGGGCTTATCGGTTACGACGACAACCCTGTCGACCTTGGCAACATGTTCAACAGTGCCATTGGGCTGCTCAGCAGCAGTAGGCTCATCAGCCATGTTGTATACTAGGCTGATGTATGTAAGGTTAGTCTAACTGACACGCGAGAAGACACAGCCTGGATCCGTTTCATCGCATGACTGGCTAATCCTCCAAAAAAAAAAAAGTCATGAACCGAAAAGGTTGAAGGTAAGAAGATGAAAGATGGTCATCAGCTTACTTGTAATCCGGGGTAATTCGGTGGAGTTGGATGTGGGTGTGCGTCTTCAGGTTGTGTTCATGGGTGAAAAGGTCGCTCCAATCTTATGCGTTTTCCAGCTTGTTGGTGGCTGATCTGGTGTGATGGTGTGTATTTCGACAGAGAAAAACGCGGCACGAACAATTTATCTGAACAACAGTTCTATCAATCTGATGAGATGTAACAGGGGGATGCCTCAGTCAATCGATCCCAAACCTTCAGCGGTGGCACGAGTTGATGAGTTGAAATGTGTGTTGATGGCATTCGAGTTTAGAGAATGTCGGAATTGGCGAATGAGAGATGAAGCTCTGCTGCTGATTGTTCTGCCATTTGAGTGCAGGGACCCACTTTGCATTCGCACACAGTGCTGAGCACACCTACCCACCACACCACTTCTGCACCCACCAAGACTGTGCGAATTCCCCACCGATTTGACAAAACTCTTCCCTCATCCAACAAACTTCGCATCTCGATTACATTCTGCAAACACTTGGTCTACACCTAAAAAATCGCCAATACTTGCTTCTCTGAGACTGCTCCCGAATAAGCACAACATGGCTTACAGCGTCACAAATGCAAAGAACCAAGCTGGTTCAAACTTCCCACGACACTGACTTACCTAAGCGGGATGTTGCAGCCTTAAGCCACCAACTCAACCAGTGATCTAGCACCCAATTTGGCGGTAGATTCTCACAACAAGCTTCTCATGCCCGAATGGACGAATAGCTCAGGGGTAGAGCAACCGGCTGCAGTCCGGTAGGTCACGTGTTCAAATCACGTTTCGTCCTATATTTTCTCTTTTATTTTATTTTTTTCGTTCAATTTTTGGATCTGACTCTGAGTTAGAGTTGGGATTACTTCTTTTTTTAAAGAAGGATTTCTTGGTCTCTCTTTAATGTGCAATCAATCTTCAGCGCAACATTGGGTTGACTTGTTCCCCCTCGGAACAAGCATCTAACCCCTTAGCCGGAACAACAGTCCAAATTCGAGCCAATTTGTTTGGGACGGTGATTGTACGCAGCCATGTTTTGTGTTGTGAGATATTAATCGAGATGCTGTGGATAATGATGAAGGCAAAAAAAGTGACGGCCGGGGGTTTCCTGTGACCATGGAGTTCTGTCCAGGCTAGATTGTGAAAGATGGGAGTACGCACCTCTTCAGCCATCACTGTTCATCATGCGTGACTATGACCGTACCAGCGTTGCTAGTATAATTAATTATTTTCTAGCTATCTCACTCATTTGTTGACATGTGTCTTTTTCGATTTGGGATTGCTAATATCAGAATACGCGATTAATCTCTGACATTGGCTAATTTTCCTTTCCCAAGTTTTGCTCTTTCGTAACTCTTTAAGCTCTCACTGTGTTGTTTCGAGTGCTTGAGTTACGCTCTCTCGATTTTCGACACCGCGGTCGCCGAATATTTCTTGCCAGTTGCTCTAGGTTCTTTGTTTCGACTCGATGTTCTCTACGGACTGTCAATAAGCGTCGTAGCAAATGGGAGAGATGCTATAGTCATTAGCAATCACAAAGAGAAGAAGATTTTGAAGTTTACAGGAAAGGAGATCCATAATTCCTATGTGATACCTTGGAGACCTTTTCTTTTTTCAAAAAAATAATAATAAAAAAATAAAAAATCTTTCTTTTCACTCCTCGTATTTTCCTACTGATTACACACGAAACAAGAAACTGCAAGCTATCTGGACCAAGATAACGAGTTAAAACTCTAGCTTTTCATACCTAAAGCTCGCAATCAAGCTCAAAGCCAAAGACTTTCTCTTGTTCCGAACCCCCCCCCTCCCCTCCGCCCATGAACCTCTTAGCCAGCAATGATGAAGTGCCTACCTACCTACCTCACCTTACCTCACCTAAGTAACTTGTTATTCAGGCTTTTTTTTCTTCCCTTTGGGGTCGAAGGGGAGAGAAACATGAAAAGCCTCTCACTAGTCCCCCCCTGACTCGGATCTACTCTTCACAACAGCCCCAAAAATTTCACTTTGCCGTTCAAGATTCTCACGCCTCTTCCTCCTCATCTCTTCCAACTTCTCAGGCCGAACCAGTGGTCCCCCGCCGACGGCCCGCGCCGTGTTTCCGCAGACGAGTATCACGGGTTTTTGCTTGGCTTCGGCGCAGAGTTCTAGCCAAGTACCAGTGAGTGTTAATAAAAGAGAGAAGAGGGAATGATGATTAGCGATGTTCAAGATATCAAGTAGGAATTGTGCAGAAATACAGAGAGAGAGAGAGAGAGAGAGAGAGAGAGAGAGAGAGAGAGAGAGAGAGAGAGAGAGAGAGAGAGAGAGAGAGAGAGAGAGAGAGAGAGAATAAGGTGTAAAATGTACATATAAAAAACAAAACTAATGGATGGGGAGGGCGGCGGCGAATTGGGGGGAAGCAAACTTGTCACTTACGGCAGTTACCATGCGTCATGAACATGTTTTTAGGCATGATGAAGAAGATGATGATGATAATGAGATTTGTTAAAGCCGTTTCCAAAAACAACACACGGAAGAATGTTTGTGGTTCATATGGTTGAAGCAGGGACCTTTGTTAATGTTTTGTGTTCGAGTACACAAGGTAAATAGCTCCCAAGGAAAAAAAGGGGAAATTATTGAGTCTCGACATTATCCACCATATTTATAGTTCATTAAATTAATAACCACAGCTAAAATATATATATGATCCATGAGTTTTGATATCCAAGACTCACATTTATCATCACGTAGCTACACAGAAGGCTATTGTGTATCAATCTTCCAGAAGCACATGATGCCTACGTTACCTTACCTTACGTCAAAATTTAACGGCTCCGAGCGAGGTGTGTAAAAGGACAAAATAGTTACAAGTAATGAGATCGCTGAAGCTATCCTATAAATCCCACAAGTTCTATCAGAATAAAGGCAAAAATATCGGGTATCAACGTCTAAGTGCGGTGGTGACATTTCCGTGGGATAGCCATAAAAGCGGAATGCGCTCAAGGGGCTGAGAGAGCGGCGGGTACGATAGGTTATCAATGTAGGTACTCATCCTTCAAAATCATGTGAGAAGGAGCTTCGAGTCATTTGTATACTCGAGAGCTAATTACAAGTAAGTCCCAAATACTACAAACGTTCAGAAAGTGATAGAATTCTATCTGTTATTATAACCCATGAATATGTGCCCATCGAACTCATCTTACAACACAACAAATACCGCACCTGACCGCTCAAGAATTACGAGAATAGATACTGTTCATAGATGAGGAGAAAAAAAAGTTAATTTCAATGTATTAAAACCAATACAAGTAGTTATAAGAATAGAAATTAAGTTAAAAAATAGGTTCATCCAAAAATACCATCACCAGCACCATCTCGCGATAGTCAAAGGTTCGTGATTCATCAAAGTTATATCCATCTTGAAACACCAGAAAAATGCAAAGCAACTCCAACGCAAGTACATGCAACACCAAGTAAATGCTCATGCTCAGTCAACAATGTTAGCAATCTTGTAAAAACAACCCTCCCCCCCCCCCCACAATAAATGAAGAAAAAAAATAAAATAAAAAATAATGATCCATGGCCTCATTGCATATCCTTCAACACCAAACACCATACATCTTCTCCAACTGTCCGTTCTGTAAACCCATCCAATAAAAAAAAATTAAATCCCAAACTCTGTCCTTGACCTTCCCCATGCATCAAAATGGAACCTATCCGGACTAACAGGCTTAGGTGACATGAAATCGTCGCCATCACCGACTCTACCCCTCATGCCACGTCTCGTCACAGCTAGCGGTGAAACAGTCTGAGGTCCCGTTACTCTTACCAACCACCCTCCCTGCCTTTCCAGTTCTCCCTCCCCAAAGTCCTCCTCCGCTTCTTCCTCCGCGAACCCACTCTCAGCCGGTCCCTCGAGTAGGAACAAATCATTCGCCCTCCTCCCATAGGTACTGTGGTGATCCATAACAGAAGGACACGTCCCCGTTCTTCGAGGGCCGGTCCCTTGCCTTGGAGCCACAGCAGCCCCCGAGGGAGAAAAATACTCGGCTCTCCTGGATTGGGATTCCGATGCAGAACATCGTCTGCCCCGTCCAGTGCTCGCCGGAGCGAAACCGAATTGGTTCCTTGCGCCCTGAGGAGGAACGGGAAGCGAAGAAGGCGTACCTGCTCGAGCACAGCCGGTGGTGGGGGGAAGCAGCATCCGAGGTTCGTGCTGGGGAAGATGAGGATGGTGGGCCTGGCTGTCTTGGCCCAAATAGCCCCGATAACCCGCGCCGTCCGAGTAATTATCTTCCTGATCAGAAGGATAGGGACTTTCCCAATCCTCTGCTCTGCCTCGCCAGATCTCTGTTGCCGGGTCGGCGAGGTCGCCGGATTGGTCCATGTAGTGCGGGCTGTAGTTGTTGGAGGCTGGCATCGTGCGACGGCGGGGTAGGGATCTGGATCTGGATCTGGATCGGGATCGCGATTGGAGATCCGGACGGGCAGGGGAACGGGGCCGTTGCGATCGGAGATCCGGACGGGCAGGAGAACGGGGCCGCGATCGGAGATCCGAACGGGTAGGGGAGCGGGGCCGAGGACGTGGAGGAGAACGCGGATGAGGATGAGGATGTGGAGGGGATCGGGAACGGGTGTGTGGATGAGGCGGCGAGTATTCTCGTCGAGGGACTTGGCGCTGTCGACGACGTTCTCGTGCTCGCTCAAGTTCGAGTTCGATTTCGATTTCGAGTTCCCGTTCGCGTTCCCTTTCTCGCTCCAACTCTCGTTCGCGTTCGCGTTCCCTTTCCCGTTCCAACTCTCGTTTGCGTTCACGTTCTAGTTCCCGTTCCCTCTTTCTCTCGCGTTCACGCTCCATTTCTCTTTTGAGTTTGTCCTGGTGGAGCTGCTCTCGGGCGATGCGTTCCAGCTCTTTCAGCTGAGCCTGGTACTGTTCCCTCTCCCGCTGGAGCTTTGCCTCATATCGTTCACGCTCCATCTGGAGTTCGATTTGGTGTCGTTCCCTGGACGCTTGCCTTGATTTTGTGGGTTTGGCCTTGGGCCGTTGGGCCTGAGGACGACGTCGATCGTCAAAGACTTCCTCCTCGCTGAACGCACGATGATCGCTTTCGCCGTCGCTGTCGTGCTGGAGATCGACCACAGGCGCGGGGGACCTCGTCCGAGGGACGCGAATGCCAGGGTTCGCTGGCCGTGACGAAGAGTACTCTTGGGGTTCCTCGGTCCAGGCTGAACTTCGAGTGACAATAGGGGTGACCACGCTATCGACCCCATGGTGCACGTGCCGCGGGGGGGACGGACCACTGGATTCATCCAGCTCGAGGTGAGGACTGTAGTCAGGTTCCACAGGAAATTCTTTGTCTGCCATGGCCGACCTCTCCTTTGCGAAATGAGCCGCCAATAGTGGCTCACCTTGTTGGGGTCCAGGGGGTCCAGGGGATGGCTCAAGTTGGTGTTTGCGATGAGCTGCACGCTTCGGAGAAGTCTTGACACGCTGCTGATGGGGGAGAGCTGCTGCACGTTTCCCGGTGGGGGACCTACCCCTGGAGCCCGATGACGACGACGAGGGACGACGCTCGCGTTCCAGAACACGTTTGACGTTCGAATCAGAGGTTGACTGCCTCCGCGGCATCTTGTGTTCCTTGGGCACCACCTTTGGCTGACGTGAATCATCGGGGTATTCCTCGATATATGGAGTTCTCCTTCGACGGATATTCTTCCCAGCTGTCTTCTTCTTCTTCCTCTCTTCCTTTCTTTCGCTGTCTAGACATTTTCCAGTACATGTTCTAGACCTCGACTTGGTCGTTGGATTACTGCTGT